CTAACAACACTAAGTTACAAGAGAGGATTATTCTCTTTCTTTGGCTTCATTGTGTTCGTCACTGCCATGTCTTTGTCCCACCCTTGTCAGGCTGGGCCTTCTCTGTGTCCTTGAAAGGTCCTGTGCCCTTTTCTGTGACTTACATCACCCTGAGCTCAGAGGAAGGGGGGAAGCACTGGGGCGTGGGATGCATTCCTTTCCTTATTGCTCTTTTTTTAATGATCTGCCACCAAGGTGGGAGCTTTAGAACAACACAACTTACTACTTCACTGTTCTAGAGGTTTAAAGTGAGTTTCATGGGGTCTGAAGTCAAACTGTCAGCAGGACTGCATCTCCCCCGAGGCTGCAGAGAATAGTGTTTGGTTGCCATTCCCAGTTTCTAAGCTTCTGAGCTCCATGCATGGTTCAGGAGCTCACTCCATTATCCACCCTGCTTACATCAACAAATCTCCTGCTCTGATTCTTAGCCTACCTGGCTCATAGATAAGGACTCTGTGATTAGTGGGTCTTCTCAGATAATTCTAGATGATTCTCCATCTCCCAATCCTTAATTTAATGGCATCTCCAAGTCCCTTTCTCGTGTAAAGTAACAGATTCATGACCTGCCCCACAAGGACATGGATGTCGGAGAATATTATTTTAAGGTGTGTTAACTTTTTTTTTTATGCTCTGGAACATTTAATGATGCAAAGATGTGTTTGATTAAATAAAATTCACCTGCGGTCAGGAGGCTGGGTCAGCAACTAGCTGACAGGAAGTTGTAAGGAGGAGCCAGGTGGAGAAGGGTTTATAAGGAAGGGCTTGAACAAGCAGGAGGACTTCTTGGCGAGACTTGAGGAGATGAGCTGCTTGCTATAGAGCCGCTCTGGGAAGCAGGATTCTACCTCAACCTTTGAATCCTGAGTTCTTTAGCAGGACAAATTGAAATAAATTTCCCTAGTAGCTTTGAAAGAATCAGTGCCACAGGGAACAGAATTCCCTCAGGCTTCAGTTCTTGTGGCCTAGCTGCTGCCAGTAACAGCAGAATTGCAGTTACTAAATAGGACAGCTGTAGTATAAAAGGCAGAAATAATTCGAAAAGAAAAACAACACATGGGCATCTTTGGGGGAACTGTTTGTGTCTGGATTCTTCCCAGAGCAGAAACTTTGACAGAAAACTAAACTAAATAAATAAATATCTGCTTTGGTAAAGCATGGGAATGTGTTCTCCAGAAAAACAACAACAAAAAATCAAGAAACCTGGGAATGGCTGTGAGTTAGAAGGAAGGCTTGTTTCTTTTAGACAGGATGTTGCTACATACCTCTGGCTGTCCAGGAACTCACCATGTAGACCAGGCTGGCCGTGAACTAACAGAGAACCACCTGCCTCTGCCTCCAGGTCCGAGAAAGGCGTTTTTTTTTGTTTGTTTGTTTGTTTTTTTTTTTTAGGGTGAGTGAACTCAAGGACATGTCAGCTTTAGACACCAGTTACCACACTCATGAAGACTAACTGAACCACAGTTCCAAAACAGCCACCTAAATGTGTATTTCAAACTTTGCCAAACAACAGTAACAGCAAGAAAGCAGTGGTCTCAGGACCAGTATCTCTGCCACCTCTGGTGTGCTGGGCCACATTGCATCTTCAGCGACGCTTAAAAGAAACCTGACACTAACTAGTTCAGCCCAAGGGTCTGGAGATAAAGCAAGAAATAAACAGCCCCTGAGCTACCCAAAAGAACAACAGTGGTGGGAAAACTGCACTGGGAGGCCATTCATCTGGAGTTGCATTCTGAAGAGGACTAAACATGAAGACTCTCACAAGCCACCACTGGCTGCTTTCCTTTGAAAGGATATTTCCCTGGTGATACCTACTGGAGCGTGGGCGGACTTCTCTCTTGCTGCGTCATGGAATGTTCCCTTCCCCACCCCCTCCTTTTGTGGGAGTGTGTGTGTGTGTGTGTGTGTGTGTGTGTGTGTGTGTGGGGGGGTGGGTGTGTGTGTGTGGGGGGGTGGGTGTGTGTGTGTGGGGGGGTGGGTGTGTGTGTGTGGGGGGGTGGGTGTGTGTGTGTGGGGGGGTGGGTGTGTGTGTGTGGGGGGGTGGGTGTGTGTGTGTGTGCAGTTTCTTGCTCCGTGTGAGAACACAGCCCTGCCGCCTGTTCCTGCTGCTGCTGCCCTGACTCTCTGCTACTTCTTTCCTCTCTTTTTCTCTTCCTGCTTAGCTCCCTTCCTTGTGGTAAGTGTGGCAAACACTCCCCCAAAGCCCTACCAGGGGCAGCCTGTAGTCTGTAGTGTTCAAAACTTGCAGATGCCAGTGAATGGTGGAAGGGCTTTCCTTTGTTGAACTTCTAAAGACAACATTCGGATCAGGATCAGGAAGGGACGGTATAAGCAGCTGCAGGGATCCCTAGGGCAGGGTAAACAGTTCTCCTCACAGGAGGGGCGCAGAGCCAATTAAGTTTGTAAAAGATTTTAGAGTTTCTTTGCTAGAAGATAAATTATTATATAAAAGGGATCATTTAAAGTTCTTTGGCTTTGTTTGTATTTGGTTTTCCTTCTTGTTAATTTGTTCTGGGGCTTTGTTGAGGCAGTAAATTGTCCTGTGAAGAAACACAGTTTACTCTGAAAAGAAAGTTGGGGTTTGAGGATAGCACAATAGTAGAGCATTTGAGGTCCCAGGATTGATCCCCAGTGCTACACACATACGAACACACACACACACACATACACACACACACACACACACACACACACGCACGCACGCACGCACGCACGCACGCACGCACGCACGCACGCACGCATACACATACACACATCAATTAACACAGAACAGGAATTTAAAGAATATCCATGGACCGAAGTATGAAAAAAAAAACTGATGGGTGAATGGACCACACCACTTTCATGTATCCTAATCATAGTAGAATCCCTAGGGACTATTTGAAATAGCTGCTTTGAGGTTTACTTTAGATTTCATCCAGCAATAACCTCCCCTACACTTACAAGCTCACATACGGTTCAAACTGGTAAATGTTCCCTGTTTCCAGTCTGACTTTGCCACTGTTTTCTTGACTTCAGGGACAGAAGCTAAATGTTAGAACTCATTTTAGAAGAGCTGAAAATAGCTTTTGGCTGGACAGCAGGTGACACGTGTCTTTCTCTGCACTCGGGAGAGGCAGGAGTTATATATAGATGAGAGTGTAGTAAGCAGAGGTCAGGATATAAATTGTCGTGATGGAGACATTGTTGAATTTTGTGATGAGAAGTTGATGAACTAAAACTAGTGAATTTCCTTCCAAGTCAGCGAAGGCTGGGTGAGCCCCACAGGTGGGTGGGAGTGTATGTACGCTGGATTTTCCACTCTCTTGGCATTCAAATGTTCTGACTCCCACTGCCCTAAAAATGGGAGAAGGAAGCCGTTGTAGTTTGGAGAACAGCATGTTTTTGTTTTTACTTTCATGCCAACACAGCAAAACCTGTGAGGCTTGAGGATTTTGCCATATTTTTATGCTGCTAATTAGCAGCATCATTATTAAATTCTATTTGCAAACAAAATGGACCAGAATGTGGAAAAACCTATGCCAAGTCTATCCGACACTCGAAGTGGGTTCTTTCATGTAACTGATTGTATTGCTCTATATTTCTCAGAGTCCGTGTTGTATCTGCGTGGTGTTGTTGCAGCAGCTGCAGCAGCTGCTGATGGATGACAGGATCATAAGCTGGGGCAGGCCTGGGACTCAGTATGTAGCTGGGATGACCTTGAACTTCCTATCCTCCTGCCTCTATGTAAAATGACAGGCATGCCCCACTACACCTGCTTTGAGCCCATATTGTATTTGAATTATTTCTCTACTTTGAACTCCCTGTTTATTATACATTGCTTTTTCTTAAAATTCTTACCCTTTCTTAGAACTTTATGACTTAGAAGATTGTAATTTCTTCTAAAATAAGGTCAATTTTTGGAGTAGAAGAATATAGTAGTACAGCAATTAAGGAACTACTATTGTAAATGGATTGGAGAGATGGCTCATGGGTAAGAGTGCTTACTCTATAAGCAAAAGGATTTGAATTCAGATGCTAACAACCATGTAAAAACCAGGGTGAGGTTAAATGCACCTGTCATTGTAGTGCTGTTAGGGAAAGAGACAGGAAGATTAGCTGGGTCTTGTTGGCTGCCAGCCTAGTGGTGGGTTCAGTGAGAGACCCTGTCTCCAAGGAATAGGGTAGAGAGTGCTGGAGCAGGACACCTGACAGCCTTCTCTGTCTTCCCCAATGTGCACACACATGTGCATACACATGTATGCACATGAAAATAACGCTTATAAGTTCCATCATTCTTCCATATTATTGGTTTATTTATACATTCCCTCATTCCCCATTTTAATTAAAAAATAATGCTAGTCTGAAGCTCAAAAATGTTTTTTCTCCTTGATGTTTTTGCTCCTTGCATGTTGCTCATTATCAGGAAAAAAATACTTTAAGAGGGATTTTACCTAATAATGTATTTATATTAAATTATGCAAATTGAATTTTTACATAAAGATTTAAAATAGCTGAGGGAAGTAACTATTATGAATGATTTTTAGTAAGCACAATGGTTCTTGCATTAAATATTTTAGCTTTGAAAGAGAATGTCTATATGTGTGTACTTCAAAGGACTGTGAAGTCCACACATGAAAATCTTAATACAAATTAACAAATATATTCATACACAAAACAATACCATGAATTAACTCAGAGGATTTCAGCAATAAAAGATACTACTAAAATATGAAGATTACACCCAAAATATGACAGTAACATGACTTGATTTTTAGTGTCAGTGGTATATGATAGTTCTTTTTTTTTTTTTTTTTTTCTGCGACAGAAACTAACTAACTGGTACCTATATAAGAGATATCTTTATTGTTAATCTGTAAGTGGGTTCATTACATAAAACCTAACTGTTCTTCCCACCAGATACCACTCCCATATGGAGACTAATCACCCTAAACAGCTTTCAGCTGAACAGCCAAAACCCCCAGGGGACAATTCATCACTCAAGCAAAATGGCCTGGGAAAGCAAGATGGCCAGCAGCCCTCAACCTCACTCGAAGTACCAGAGCAGGAGACAAGTGTATGCCCTGAGAAGGGCACCCATGACATCTCTGAAGAGTTGAACCGACAGCTGGAGGACATCATAAACATGTATGGGTCTGCTGCCAGCCCCACAGAGACAGAGGGTACCACTGAAGCTAAGGAGCAGCCCGAAAACACAGAGATGCTGGACAATGAGGATGGGGACTGTGAAGAAACCACTGAAGAGACAGACAGAGAAGCCACTGCTTCTGAAGAGCCAGCCTCTGCCAAGGAGCCTGTCAGCAATAAAGAGCAGAAACTGGAAAAGAAGATCCTAAAAGGGTTAGGCAAGTATTATGTCCTCATATATGACTTTTCTCTTAATTATCCCATTTGCTTTAACTTCACTAAAAGCCATGTCTAATACATTTGAATTAATATAATATCTTCCTTTGGGGCTGTATTTGTCCCACGCCCATTCCTTTAAATAAAACTAAAGTAAAATTTTAACACAGTGCCTATCAACTCTACCTATGTGGCTTCCCGATCCTCTTAGAGAGAACATCAAAATTCTTGTGACTTTTTTTTTTAGTCCCTTAAACTGATCTAACCCTAACCAGTTTAAGCTTGATCTCATTTCACGCTATCCCGAGCATCTTTCTTTCTCTTTCTACCCCTGATCCCACCACTAGTGCAGTCATTTATTCTCATCTTGCATTTTGGTTTTCTGAACTTCCTTGTTCTCTTCTCCAAAGGCGCCTGCACATTCTACCTAGAAACCTCTGCCCACTTTGCTCTGCCACCCTTCCAGCCTTCTGAGCAGAGAACCCCTACTTAGCATTTAACTCAAAACCAAATGGCAATTTCTAAGCCCAATTCTAAAGTTGTAACTTCTTTGAGTCTGCATTGTACCATGTTTCCTTTTTTCATAGTACTAGCCAGCATTTTGAATTATACATTTTGGAGGAGAGTATTTGGTTAATATATCTAATTCCCAATTGAATTTTTTTCAATATCAAAATCAATGTATGTGTGTATGGGTACAAAATAGGAGATGACAAATTAAAAGCTCAACAGATATTTGCTAAGGATGAATTATATGAATTGGAAATTTAAAGCAATCCTAGTAAATAAGCAAAATATAGTAAATAGGGATAAGTTCATTGATAAAATAATTATCAGTTAGATCACTTACTATAAAATATTTTTGATTAAGCACAGATCACAAAAAGTGTGGTTACATTTGCCACAAATGACAGAAGACCTATAACTGCACTCATCTATTGTTAGTCTCATGATCATGTGTTAAGGCCTGCTTATGACACACTGTGCTGGGAGCACAAAAAGAGATGATCCTTTGGTTAAGGGCCTCTTGGTACAGATAGAAAAGCAAACACATGCACCATGATGCAGCAGAAACAGGCAGAGGAGAACATGTTTTTTTTTTTAAGAGCATTGAGGATTGGTAGCACCAGCAATAACTGTGGATGAAGGGAAAGAATGCTAATTTTGAAGCTATGGCTGAAAACATTACTATATAGGAAAACCCCTCAGTCTGTCCCCAGTAGTGACTGCCACTACAGCGATCACTTCAAAGACTACTTCCCATGTAAGACTGAGTTAGCATCACCTTTCTCACGTCTCCATTAAATTTTCTCCAGCTTCCATGCTAGATGGGTGAGCTCTCAAGGAGTAACCACACCTTGTTCATTTGTATAGTGTGATAGAGTGAAATACCAAGGGCATTGAGTCTGAACTTTGTTCATACTCCACACGCTCCAGTAACAGATTTCTACCTGTAAACATTAGAATAGGGGACCATTGTGGGCATAAAACTCATTAAGAAAAGGATTTCCAGCAATACACCTGACACCCCCCACCCCGCTGCCACACACACAAAGATCACAACATTTAATATATTTTCACATTCCAAACATGCAAGTCTGAATCATTCTAGAATACCAGGAGTCATCATAATGGCCTTCTGTGTTAAAGAGCAATTTTTCACTTTTCTAATCAAATCATCTTGGATGTGCCTCTTGGCACCGTTACATTACGGATCCAGGATGTTCCTGAACCATTGTGCATATCCTCCTAAACCATTTATATAGAGATTTCTGTGTATTGGCTATACTAAGGGACAAAGCAGGAGGAAAATAAGGGGAAATTAAAGACAACCAACTGGAGCTTCTACATACTCTCCCATGAATTATTTTATAAATCTATATAGTACTTACAATTACCAAATAATTAGGACAGTTTTTTCAGAATGAGAAAAAAAAATTACTTTTTTTTCCTGCCACTCTCTACAAATTACCAAGCTCCAGCCCAATGCGTTTGGCTAGAATTTCTGTTTGTGCATCAGAGGCCAACTCTCAGCATGTGTGGGCTGGTGGCCTTTCTGTGCTATCCCACTCTATATCATTAACATATTCTTCTACACACAGTACAGTCTCAGCTACGCTCCTAGTTATAACAACATTTTCAGGCCAGCCTACACATAAAACCTCCACTTCCAACTTAGCTGCCTACAAGTGGCTTTAGGAAACTTCTTGGCTACTTGATCATTACATGGTGCTGCAATATTGTCTACAAACTTGACTGTGTGTTTAAACCAAATTCAGAGCTTGTCAAAACTCTGCCGTGCACAGAGATTCAGAACTGGTGCACATAAAGCCAGCCCAAGGCACTGTGACAATGTGACAGAAAGCAGGTTGTAGAAGAAAAGGGTGCTCTGGCTTCAGAAACTGTTTCTTCCAACCTTAGTGTTAAGTTCTGGTTGTGGGCTTCTTTGGGCAGAAGGAGGTTGCCAGACAAGGTAAGGCTCTGCCTGCCATTTGTGGTTAACTAGTAGATATTTGTAAGTCTTTTTATAAAAGAAAGCTGCTCAGTGGCCTCCCTGAGACTGCAGAGGGCTGCCATTTCTCTGAATAACAATTCTAAATATGCCAGAGAAACGGGTTCCTTGTGGGACATTCTACTCATCATCACTGACTATAGGTAAAGCTTCAATATCTATACTGAGAAACCCATAGGCAGGACACTGTTAACTGTATAACATCTTCAGACACCCATATTACCCTTCT